AGGTGCGATAAATGATTAAAGCTTAGATTTTGTAGTTATTCACCAGATTGCTGTGGCTCGATGTCATAGCTAAGCCGATCCAGTTCCGACTCAGTGTCTACAACCTTGAGTCCATCCAAGTAAGCTTTTACCTTCCGAACCATCAGTGCCTGCTCATAAACCTAAATTTTCTCATCAGCTTTGAAAGCCAAAACCACATTTTTCCTCCAACCTTCTTCCTCGGCTGGATGACTCGTCCTCCTTTCCGCATTGTCGCTACATTACCCCCCTCGAAAGTGTTCATATGCAACAAAGCATCGCTTATTGTGCCACCGCTCTGAAATGATCATCGCTTAGGGGAAAGAGGTTGAAACATCGTTGTATAAACAACATCTCAGCAGCTGTGGCCATATCAAGAGAAAAAGCTCATAAAGAGAGACGTCAACCATATTTTCCTTATCAAATTCCACTCTTTTTTAGTACATGCAAAAAAAGCGTTACATTAGCTCTAGAAATTATGGTGCGATAGCGAGCGATAGCTTCATTGAGCCAATAAGAATTCTCTTCGCTTCTAGGACCAGAACTTCGCGTCCTTATTGATCTTTTTGTCGATCTCTTCAACAAGAATTTGTTCGATTTAATTCTACAAATCAAGGCTCACTTGCATGCAACTTGATTTTCTTAAAGTTTAGGTCTGATGGGTTCCAAAATTATATATGAAAAAGTCCTCCAGAGAAATTTGTTTATGTGTAAGAGATAGACTAAAAGCAAAAAGAACCTTGCCTTGTCATAAACATTTTGCGCAGGCTTCTCATATTTGCAACAGATTGATGACAAAGTCTTCAAGGAGTTGTATTCAAGTAAAACTTACTCGTTCTGCCATACTAGAGATCTCATATGGTGCACTGCTCAGTTTGCTCACAGCACGCACAGACTTCGCTATAAGTCGCAATTTTTCGAAGTTCACCAGTTTTTCGCAATATGTCGGATTCCCCTCGTGTGAGAACGTTAAGTCCTTCTTGATCACAGGATAGATCGGGACCACCTGAACGAATGATATTTTCGCATTCGGTAAAGAGGAACACTTATTGGTGGAAATGTTACAATAGTGAAACGGATGAGAATCACACTAACCGGTGGTTCCTGCGCTACCTCAGCCAAATGCTGACGATATTTGGACATATTTCGAGATGGATCCACAAGCTGTTGCACATCCTCGAGCATTCGAACATACTTGCTGAGAAAAA